ATTTTAATGTATCTGAGATGAAGAGAGGACAAACTCAGAGTTTTAGACACAACCACAGCATTAGAGAATGGCAATAGCCAGCTAGCTTTGAAAGCATTAGGGTTAGGGTTAAGGGTTAAAGATTCCACCCTCCCTGCAAATCACTCTCTAAAGTTGTCCAAGTGAAGTTGTTAGCAATGCATATTACTAATCAAAAATTAAGTTTTAATATATTTACGGTAGGAAATTTACAAAATATCTTCATGGAACATGATCTTTACTTAACATCCTAATGATTTTTGGCATAAAAGAAAAATGGATAATTTTGACCCATACAATGTATTGTTGGCTATTGCTACAAATATACCTGTGCTACTTAAGACTGCTTTTGTGCTCCAGGGTCACATATATGAATTAATTAATTATATGAATGTACCTCTGAAGGTTCTGACTGTCTTCAGAAAAGATTCGATGGCATTTTTTTACATCTTCGCTCCATGTAATACCTAATAAAGTAGTGTTTTAATCGCAATTTGCAATTTGCTTTGGAGGTTACGGGAAAATGCTGTAATACTGCTGCTCTATAAGCGCCATCTAGTGTCAGAGAGTGGATTTACAGAGACTTACAGTACATTCACATTCAGCCTGTGTGCAGTTTCTGTTTGGCCAAAAAATGAACCAAATCTGCATGCCCTGCTGTAAATTTTGATCAGTTGATGAAAAACAAGCTCATGTGGATTCTACACGTTTAAACAATTCGGATAAGGTATCTAGAATTCTTTATGGAGCAGATAAAATGCATATAATATTAATCACTTATCGTTTTGACCTAACCCTTTTCTTTATTTAAAGGCTGAAATGTGAGGTTTACCATTTTATGAAACTTTTTCAAAGCTTCATTTGAAAATTTCATGCATGTTGTTAGATAAACTGTTGTCATGTGGTCATTTAAAATCCGGACATAATTGATAATGTTATGGTTTTAGTGTTTATGCAAACAAAAATTAATTGTATTTGACGGACAGAAGTTGCATGCCCTGCTGTAAATTTTGACCGGTTGATGAAAAACAAGCCTATGTGGATTCTACACATTTAAACAATTCAAATAAGTTATCTAGAATTCTTTATGGAGCAGATAAAATACATATAATCATTTATTAATCAATTATCATTTTTACTTAACCCTTTTCTTTATTTAAAAAATTTTTTTATGAAACTTTTTCAAAGCTTTATATGAACATTTCACACATGCTATTAGATAAACAGTTGTCAGTCATGTTGTTAATTAAAATACGGACATCATTGGTAATGTTATTGCTTTAGTGTTTATGCAAACAAAAAGCAATTTTATTTATTATTTGTTGATTTTAAAAACAAAACTTTGTAAAACAATTTATGTGTCAGTACTTTTATAAAACGGAGAGTTCCGTTCCTTGATTCTGATTGGCTGAGCCGCGTTCTAAGCTGTTGTAAATTACTCTACAAACATACACCTTTGTTTACATTGTCTGTTGCTCGGCAACCACTTTGTTGGAACCACAACTGTTTCTGAGGAACTACATTGTTTGGTGGAAGAATACTGTTTTTATTAATATCATTACACTTTATTTGCTCTGTTTTATTTTGTGAAACCTTACTACGTATATGGAATAACCGTTTCATAAAAGCAATAATCCCCGTCAAGTCGTGGTTTACAGTGAATTTATAACAGCTAAGGGGGTTTTAGGCACTCCGCTTCGTGTCGTACCTAACAACGGCCCCTTAGCTGTTATAAATTCACTGTAAGCCACTGCTTCTTGGGGCTTATTGCTTTATTTGAACATTTCCAGCACATTTTAACAATACCGTGATAGTTTAGGTCATTATAATCGTAATAAGAAACTTTCAAATCATTACATCTCTACCAGCGACACGATGAGCTGACTAACATGCTAAAGTGCATGCAAAGACAAGTAGTGGATTATTATTGTAGTGTTATATATTTAAATACTTGACATACAAGTTTCAATAGAAATGACATTGAAGTATATTTTAGTTTATCATAAATGCTTGTCAGTACATTCGGCAGCACAATTAACCCATATTTACAAGACAATAAGTAATTATGAAATTACATATAAAGATGTACTTAAGTTCTGCTTTTGATATAAATGTAAAATATAGTACATGTCCATTTAATTGCAGTGAACATGCATTTAAGTGTGCAAAAACATTAAATTCGGTTTATTAAAAGTGCATTGTCTTTGAACTTGTTTTTAAAAGTATGCTTAATGCAAAGGACTCAATCAAGGAAAAACAAGGTAGCTGTACTTGTGGCGCTCCGATGGCTTGTGAATGCGCCTCCTGTAGAATATCCAGAGCCACGCTGAAGTCCTCAGACGTGACGCTCATCCCAGAGACACACAGATCCTCCTCTTCCTGTTCACTCGTCGCTTCTGAAAAACTACAGCACACCAGTTTCTGATCCATTCGACAGAACGGACACAAACAATGTCTGGAGCGAATATCAGCAGCAGGGTGAATGAAGACTCACTACGTCTGCAGAAGTCGTCTGTGAGCGGCGTTCCCAGCGTTGGTAAGGAGTGCGCAAAGATCTCCTAAAACAAAACCCTACAGAAACAAAGCCAACATGAAATGGCACTGGCAATCAAATTTACTTGCATAAAGTGATATAATATGGTAATTCACTGGATGCAGAGCAATTTGCACATTTCTCTTTGGAACAATACACTCCAAAATGTTTCATAATTGGACCAGGAACGTGTATAAAATAGTACATATATAACCCTGGAGCACAAAAGCAGTCTTAAGTCACTTAAGACTATTTTGTTAAGACACAAAATACATTGTATGGGTCAAAATTATCCATTTTTCTTTTATGCCAAAAATCATTAGGATATTAAGTAAAGATCATGTTCCATGAAGATATTTTGTAAATTTCCTACCGTAAATATATCAAAACTTAATTTTTGATTAGTAATATGCATTGCTAAGAACTTAATTTGGACAACTTTAAAGACGATTTTCTCAATATTTTGATTTTTTTTGCACCCTCAGATTCCAGATTTTCAAATAGTTGTATCTCGGCCAAATATTGTCCGATCCTAACAAACCATACATCAATGGAAAGCTTATTTAC